GTCCGAACAGAGAATTATGACAAAAGACACGAGCAAGCACATAAGCAGCTACGTATTATAGTAATATATACAAACATATGTATATGCAGAAAGTGGCCATTATAATTGACGACGAATTATTTTATTTTTGTTTTTACGAGCACTTTTGTATAATCATGATTCATTGGTATACAAATGACGCAAGGATGTGGGGTAGGGATTCTAGAAGAACGGTGTATATACAACAAAACGTGCTTTCTTTAACAAAAATAATTATAGTAAATAATAACCACAAAACAAAAGCAATTGCCAATATTGAAAATCGTGCGTATGTAACACTAGTACTAGTAGTAGGCCCGGTTTTAGGGGTGTGTATGGAATGCATTTGCACAAGATCTCTTTATAAAAAAAAAAAGTTCGAATTTTTTTTTTTTTTCTGGATCCTCCCAAACTTTAGATCGAGCTTGAATAGTAGTATGTTCCCCGCGTTTCAAGTCTTCTAGACAGACCAAAATTTAGGCACAAGTCCAAGTGTCAAATCTATAAGACTTTTATTTTTCTAGATGTACACTTGACCTACTAACAAATCGAAATCATTTATCGTGTTTATATGTATACGCGATTCTCGAATAATGTTAGCCGACGATTAGTCTAGTCTATCAGATTTGAGAGCTTAATTACCATAGTATATTTTTGTGTTAGATAGTGCTTAAATACGCATGTGTATAAATGAATAAAATGGTAAAGAAAATACAAGTAATCCGATAATGGTCATAGTTTTGGTGCTACCGAGAGAAAGTAAACGGCGTCGCTTTCGTTTCAAAACAGGTAAATCTGGATGGACAACGCGTGGATTAAACCAGAAATATACCCAACAAAAACTTGACTTTAGGGTCCTTCTTTAATTAAAAGCAGCAGACAAAGGTTAGATGAAAAACAAATGATTAAGTAAGTCTTAATCTTTATCTTTAATTCTGTCGTACAAACAATTAATCAATTACTTGTCCCGTTACGCAATTAAGCATGATCATTCAAATTTAATCACCTAACAACTAGACCCACTTGAACAAGTTGCCGAGGTTAATAACATTGTACCACGCATTAATTAAAAGAAGAAGAAAAAAACATACAATTCTAATCATGTATCCAAAACCACAGTTTAACAGTAAGTACACGGGCCTCTAACACAGAACAGGCCCATTAACGTTAAAAAGTCCATTATGATCCTTTACTTGCAATGACCAAAATACCCCGAGGAGGCCCCTGAATTAACGAAATTAGCATGGAGGCGCCAAAGAGAGTAGTACTAGTGGATAAGGAAAAATATATGAGAGAGAAGGCCTCTCTTCTTCTCAGGTCTCACTCTCTCGCCGGCCGTTAGATTATGGCCGTCTCCGTCGCAAGCTGCTGCTTCTCCGTCCTCAATGCCTCCCTTAAGCTCCAATCTTCCGTCTCTTCACCGCGGTGTTTCGTTGCCGCATCACTCAAGTCCACTCCCCGAGCTTCGAATCAGAAGAGGAAAGCTCTCAGGCCCGATTCCTCTCCTAAATTAAACCCAGAGGTACCGTAATTACACCATAAACGTATTCAATTGAGTCTAAATCCATGAGATTACCTTTATCTGTGGTTTGGGTTTCATGTATCTTACAGAATCAGAACAAGTACCCAGGAAGAGTTAGAGATGTACATGGTGATGGAATAAGAGGTAAAGGGGATAGTGGTGTTCCTCAGAAAATGGCATTCAAGGCGTTTGGGTCTCCGAAAAAGGAGAAAAAAGAGTCACAATCTGATTTTAGAGAGCAGCAGGTTTGCTTACTACCATTTCTTCTTCAGCTTATCTGTAATCCTCCCTTCATTTTTGTGTCATTTCGATACCAGACTGATCCTGGGAAGATTCACGATGCATCCTTTCTTAATGCCGTCGTTAAGGTAATAACATTTCAAGATGCTTTTCTTTGAGTGGTCATCCTTTGAATCTCTGGTTGATTCCCTTTTTTCACAGGTTTATTGCACTCATACGGCGCCTGATTACTCCCTCCCATGGCAGAAGCAGAGACAATTTACCAGCACTGGGAGGCAAGTTTTACTGACATGATTGAGTTTTCTACTTCATGTTCCTACAAGGCTGTTGTTCCATGAGTTAATTGTATGTTCTTTAATTGCAGTGCTTTTATGATAGGAGATGGCAAGCTCTTGACAAATGCCCACTGTGTGGAGCATGATACACAGGTGGACTTTCGTTCTTGGATTTCATATGTATATGCCTTTTGCTTATAAACTTTATTGTGTTCACCTTTTGTTAATAACATAACTCTTGATCAGGTTAAAGTGAAGAGAAGGGGAGATGATAGAAAGTATGTGGCAAAGGTTAGTCTTACATTTGTGATAATTACTTGCAGATTTCTCTATGTGCATTTGATCTTCTACTTTGAATTTGTAGCATGCACATGAAGCCATGTAAAACTTTGAAAATAGAATTTTGTTCATTTCTCCGATAAGTTTAATTGAACATGTACCTGTCTTATACATTTGCAGATAACTTCCTCTCATTTTATTATATACAGGTTTTAGTTAGAGGTGTGGACTGTGACATAGCTTTGCTTTCAGTAGAAAGCGAGGAATTCTGGAAAGGAGCTGAACCACTGCGGCTTGGCCATTTACCCCGCCTTCAGGTTTCATCATCTCATCAGATAATGATGTAGTTCTTGGTCTTTTCAGTTTTCTTCAAGTGCAGTCTCCGAAATATTTAAATAACACATTTGATGGCCTAGATGCGGCATGAACGAAACCAACAACAAAAAACAACCAGAGTTTTTAGTGTTGAATTATAATCTCATAGAATGGGTTATGCTGTCCACTTTTTGTATGTTCTTTCCTGCCTGTTAGTTCTATTATCTACCTGGACATACCTGTTGTTCATAGAGTATCCATGTTGGCTTTTATTTGCAGGATTCTGTAACTGTCGTGGGATATCCTCTTGGAGGAGATACTATCTCTGTTACAAAGGGGGTCGTATCACGTATCGAGGTTTCTCCATATCTTTGGCTTCACTTTTATGCCACTATATCGTTTGTGTAGATTTTAAAAACTTTTCCTTGTTGGAATTTTGGGAATGCAGGTAACATCATATGCTCATGGATCATCTGACTTGCTTGGAATTCAAATCGACGCTGCAATAAATCCAGGTCAGTGGATCCTTTATAATATATTGTATTCCTCCTTTTGCTCCTAGTATCTTGCACTTTGTTGTGAAATTTGAATGTGACTTGTTCTTTTACGTAGCGTGCTTTTCACTAAGATTGTTTCTGAGAACATTCATTTGTATTATTGTGATAGCCACTTCTTATACTTGTTAGATTTTAGGGAATAGTGGTGGCCCTGCATTCAACGACCAGGGGGAATGTATTGGAGTAGCATTTCAGGTAATCGCTTTGGGACTTTCATGATTATAATTTTTTTTTGGTTCTCTTTCCAAACGTATGTCTCACAGGAGAATTCCTTTAGGTTTACAGATCCGAAGAGACTGAAAATATTGGATACGTGATTCCGACAACAGTTGTTTCTCACTTTTTGACTGATTATGAGAGAAATGGAAAGTATACTGGTAAGATTTTTCTCGTAAAGTTCATCTGTCCACTAGAAGATATCTTTCAGGTTCTGTTGTTAATATTTTCTCTTGCAGGTTACCCTTGCCTTGGAGTATTGCTGCAGAAATTGGAAAATCCAGCTTTGCGGGAGTGCCTAAAAGTTCCGACAAATGAGGTAGGCTTGGTTTGTTAGGTCATCTGTCTTTTGGCGGATAAAGATTTTGTGAGCATAATGGTGGAGGATATTGATTCTTCCTTCTTAGCAGTTCATATGTACTCAAGGTTATGTAACCTAAATTTTGCAGGGGGTGCTGGTGCGAAGAGTTGAACCAACATCTGATGCAAGTAAAGTCCTGAAGGAGGTAAAGAGAATGAATCATAGGACTGTCCCTCTTCGAAATTTCTACTCATCAAATCTTCTCATCCTTTATTTATGGTTCACCTGACCAGTGCTAATTGTTGGATCAGGGAGATGTGATTGTAAGTTTTGATGGTCTAATTGTGGGATGTGAAGGAACTGTACCGTTCCGATCCAGTGAACGCATTGCATTCCGTTATCTCATCAGTCAAAAGTAAAGACTCTTTTTCTTGTCCACAGATGTAATAACTTCCTCTGCCTTTCCTCATACTTTGACTTCTACTTTGATGAGCAGATTTGCAGGTGATGTCGCAGAGCTTGGCATCATTAGAGCAGGAGAACATAAGAAAGTTCAAGTGGTTCTAAGGCCACGAGTGCACCTGGTACAACTCTCTGCATCTACCATTTTAAGTTTTCGGGCTTTATGCCTAGTAAGCTAATTACTAAAACTTTCATTGCCTTTTGTACCTTTAAATAGGTCCCGTACCATATTGATGGAGGTCAGCCATCATACATCATAATTGCCGGTTTGGTGTTTACGCCGCTCTCTGAACCACTGATAGAGTATGTTCTCTTCAGCTTGCTAAGATGCAAACGGCAATAGAAACTTTCTTCATTATTCGCAGATGCCTAACTGTTTTCTCCTTTTTTCTATATGAACAGGGAGGAGTGTGAGGACACCATAGGCGTAAGTTCACTCTACTAAACCTTCTGTTCGATTAGTTTTTCAGTCCACTAAACAGTTTTTCATTCTCGTTCTGAGTATGTGTTTCTTCCAATTTGTAGTTGAAATTGTTAACAAGGGCACGTTACTCCGTGGCAAGGTTCAGAGGAGAACAAATCGTCATCCTATCACAGGCAAGCGCTCATAGGATAATGAGTAATTGTTTACATGTGAATTTTAGTGAGTGCAATAGTAATTTCATCATTTATTAACTGGATTAGCATATCGGTAGGTCTTGGCAAATGAAGTAAACATCGGGTATGAAGACATGAACAACCAGCAGGTTCTCAAGTTCAATGGAACTCATATAAGAAACATCCATCACCTGGCACACCTCATCGACATGTGCAAAGATAAGTACCTAGTTTTTGAGTTTGAAGACAACTACGTCGCGGTTTTGGAGAGAGAAGCTTCAAATTCAGCTTCCTTGTGCATCCTCAAAGATTATGGAATTCCCTCGGAAAGATCCGCTGATCTGCTTGAGCCATATGTAGATCCAATAGATGACACCCAGGCTCTTGATCAAGGTTTCGGAGACAGCCCTGTGTCAAATCTGGAAATGGGCTTCGATGGACTGGTATGGGCGTAGATGTTCAAATAAGGAGCTGTCCGCACATGAAAGCCACCGAAAGCTCATAAAGCGTCCCATAACAAGGCGGAAAAGCCCTCAGTGTCATCCTCAATCAGAAAGTTTTGAGCTGATCCAAGTTTAGTTAATTAGAGCTCTAGGGATTGAGTTTAATAGAAAGTTTCCCATAAAAATGCTCTCCATTGTGTTTAGATGAGTGTATTGAGAAAAGCATTGCAAGAATTTTGACCAAAGTCGACAAATAATGATTCAATGTCTGATTTTGATGAGAAATGAAATGCAGTAATGTCTGCTCTTACGTTGTTTGTTTACCAGATAATCTCTTTTGCTTCCATTCTTTTTTACCGTTTCTGTTGTCTTCATTTAACTGACCATAAAACCTAAGATTGCTGCAGAAGAGGAAAAGCATAACAAGTTAAAAGCTGGCACTCACTTCAACACAACAGCGAAGAGCTTCACGGGGCTCTCTACTTCCTTTGTTTGTTATTATATAATTACTTTGGTTTTTGTTTATTCAGAGAACCAAAACATACAAACACTCGGACACAAATCAAAACCCGACAAATCCACATTTCATGTGCTCTGCCCTAAACCAGAGGTCCACAACCAAACCCACCAATCTTGTCTTTTACCTCCTCTATAGCTGTATACCTTTCTTCTTCTTCATTTTCTCTATCTTTTTTATTTACCTCTTAAGAAGCCTCTCTTACACATTCTCAGAGCAACAGAGAGGCTCACAAATCAGAGTAACCATGACAGTAGTCTCTCTGTTCACCGCCTTCACCGTCCTCTCGCTCTGTTTACACATTTCAACATCTGAGTTCTTACAGATTCAGCTCTCCACCATTTCAGCTGCACCTTCGTTTTTGCCCCAAGCTCCTTCGAGCTTCTCGGCTTCTTCTCCTTCGAGCTTCTCGGCTTCTCCTCCGGCTATGTCTCCAGATATCTCTCCTCTGTTCCCTACTCCAAGTTCCAACGAAATGTCTCCTTCTCCCTCTGAGTCTTCTGACATGCCGACAATCCCCTCAAGCCTTAGTCCACCAAACCCAGATGCTGTCTCTCGTGATCCTCTGCTTGAGTTTTCTCCAGTTGGGTCTCCACTTCCTGCTTCTTCCTCTGTTTCTTTGGTCTCATCACCACTCTCTCTGCTTCTTGTCTTGCTTATGTTGCTGCTATTCTAGTACTCATCTAGAAACAGAGAGCTAGCTAGCTTACTAGAAAAAGTTTCACAATGTCTCTGCTTCTTCTGAATCTTTCTTTTGTAATTTTAAATATAGTTTTATATTGTTCTCGCTCATAACGCACTCTGCAATTTGGCTGGTGCAGTTGTTGTACTTGTAACAGTGATGTTTTTTTTTGTGCCTCAAAAGTCAAATTGATTGATTCAATCATGTGTTCTTCACATGTCTCTGTCTCAAGCTGTGTTTCTTCTCGTGATTCAACAATTCAAAATCAAAACATGCATCAAGTAGAGGATAATTACGATAACCTCGGTTATAATACCGACCATTAGTCTTTAATAAAGAGTGAAATCAAACACAGAAACTAGCTGGTGAAATGTGTGTCCAACAAACTCACGAGGTATATGAGCCACTAAACGATCTTCTTGCCTTGGCACATAATGTAGAACAACTTGCCGATGAACTTGTCCATTGGCTTGAACTCAAAAAC